CTGATAAAGAAAAAACACAGAGTTTCCCCCCCCGTGACAAAACCCCCCCCCCCCCCATAAAATTCTTACTGGTTGTTTTTTGAGTCATTCTTTTGTGGATGTTTACAGCAATTATTCTATCAAAAAATCTGAAAAGCTGCATGTGTTATTATATGTATGTCTAAGTACATCCGTTGGTTCTTTATTACCAAGTTGCAGACTCCTGGTTTAGTTTCTTGTTAACAAATGCTGTGTGAATGCAGTGAGTCTGTATTGATCTTCTGTCTCAAGCTGTGTTCCCAAATTAATGCCGTAGGTTTTATTAGAAATTGATGTCTCATGTTGCCGTGTGGTTCAGACGCACCAAACATGGAGGCTGCTGTCCTTGGCACATTTGTCCTCGGTCTGATTTAGTGCTTCTCCTTCTCTGTTTGGCCTTTCTCCTCTCAAGCTGCTAATAATGAGTAAAGGCCACAGGTGGCAAAAACATTAAGCAAGAGTCAAATCTGTTTGAGAATATTTTTAAACAACTTTCAAGTACTATAATTATTGGTATTGAGCCTCCTTTACTCAGCTGCTTCTAAATAAAATCCACCACAACAACCTTTCTTCAAAAGTCACCTTTGACAGAGTTTAACTTCTCTCTAACACATAAAGTCCTTAAATAAAATAAAATACGCTGAAGTCTCTGGGTGTGTTGGGACAATATATGATCAATTAAAGGGGCTTCTTCTGTTTAAGCCCATTTAATCTTTTTTTTTTTTTTTTCATTTTTTAAATAAGTTTTTTCACAAAATAAGGCTGGCATGTGTATAGTGGATTACATGGAAATATGGCTGCTCTAATTCCAGTTATAAAAAGTCTTTTTGTTTACCAGGGTAGGTCATTTTTGTGCCTTTTCCATCACTTGTTTTATATATATATATATATATATGTATATATATATATATATATATATATATATATATATATTAAAACCTGCCACTGATTATGTGAAAACTTGCAGCTGCTTTCGAGGATAATTTAAGGCGGAGGATTCCATTTCCAGGACCGCAGGTCTGGCGTCCTGCATGTTTTATGGCTCGGCGCGTCTGATTTGAAAGCAGTGGGTCATTAACATCAAGCCTCTGCTCAACCTGACGACGAAAACCTGAAAGAGGGTTTAAGACACAGGTATCTGGTGGCGTCACTTTTGTGCATTACTTTAAAAAGAAAATCTCACTTTTGTGGCAATGAGAGGATTTTTTTTTATCAACAATTGGACACCAGTGGATCCAAGGATGTTGAATGGTTTAGTCAAAGTCCAGGTCAAACATAAAAGGAGAATCTGTTGTGATGTTCACAGATCCTCTCCGTTTTGCAAAGACAAACGAGCCAAAATTCAAATCTCTAGAGACGCGCCCCAAAAGACCTGCAGCTTTATTTAGGGGTGTCAGAGTAAAGGTGACGAAGATGCAAACCGCACTTTTCTGTATTTATTATTTATTTATATTTGCTTTGTAGAACATTTTGAAAACCAGGTATTTCTTCTATGATGCCTTACAGTGATTACAGTGATTTGTGTTGGTCTGTCTCATAAAATATTTGCTGTAATGACGTGACAAAAACATAAAAAACAAACATAATTTCTTAAGGTATTGTAGAGTCATAACACTGTAGAGCAGGGGTGTCCAAAGTCGGTCCTCGAGGGCCGGCATCCTGCATGTTTTAGTTCTCTATTGGTTGTAACAACCTCCTCAGCAAGTCAGAGTTCTGCTTAGGCCTTCTAACAGCCATCATTTGATGCAGGTGTGTAAAACCAGGGAGAGAACTAAAACATGCAGGATGCCGGCCCTCGAGGACCGACTTTGGACACCCCTGCTGTAGAGCTTAGGAAATGAGCAACTCTTCATGAAATACTCAACTATTTCTTTACGATTTAATTTTCCTTCCTGCTTCTTGCTTCTACTCTTTTAATCTGAGTGTTTTGCACCTTTCTGGCGAGTCGTGCTTTAATTCGAGGCTTTGGTAACTTTGTCCACCAACACTTCCTCAGAGGAAACAAGAAGTAAAACCAGGGAGGAAAGAGTTAACTTTTCCCGGAGCGTATCATTTCCTGCTCTGGTTTCCTGGGTTTTCTGACTCTGGCTCTCACTTTCCTGCCGTCGGAGCAGCGCCGGACCGGCTCGCTCTGGTAGGTTTTGTCTAGCCGCCCGTGTCACGCTCAGCTCGACCTTCTGCTGTCTCTCACCTCCTGAAGCGCGGAGGAAAACCAGCCTGGGCTTTCCTTGCTGTCTGGCTGTATTGACACCGATCCTGGCCGCTTCATCTCATTGAAAAAGGTTTCTTCTTCTTCTTTTCTACTCGCTTAAACAAAAAAAAATAAATCGGGAACAATCTCTCCGTGATCCGGTTGTCCATTCAGGCTGGCCTCGCGTCACAAAGACAGCAGTTGTGCCACTGCTTTTTGTTCTTTGTCGGGATTTTGTCACTTGCTCAAATCTTTTCCGCTGCGTTCTTTACTCTCTTTATTTTACACATAAGGATTCAGCTCGTTTGTCATCTTTAATAACTTGTAATTAATTGCAAGACATATTAAATAGTTTGGGGGTTTTTTTGTGGAAATTGTGCAAGGTTGTGGGCAGGAAACGTCATTCTGAAGTTCGTTTTGTTTTCTATGATTAACACATCTACATATTTTCCTGTCCGCATCCTCTTTGCTTATGTGTCACTTCTTTTCTACAATTGAGGAAGTTCCTGCCTGCTGAAGTGTGCGGTGCTCCTGCTGAGTTTTCCCCTCAGCTGTGACTAAAAGCAGACATTTCAGTGGTAAACGGAGCCGTCGTCTGTGGGGTTTAGGGGAAAAAAGTGAAAAGAAAAGCAGCTGAGTTTTCCGTCTCAGCTAATAAACCAGCATCTCTGACTTCAGGAGCCACATCTCTGCACTGGAGCAGCTTTGAGCAGCTGCTCACTTCATCTATGAGCCTAGCCAAGTTCAGAATCAGGCATTTCCTTCATTCCACCGCGTTAATCCGAGGCCTTACAGCTGTCTTTCTCCATCAGTTCGCCTGCAACCTAATAGTTCTTGTGACTAAATTTTTCTTTTTTTTTTTATTCAGTTAATTTCTCTTGTTTTTCTTGCAGGCCACTGATGGTGCTCCATCCTCTCTGCGCTCCGGAAAACTGAATTCCCTGAAGAATCAATTTGAAAAAGCAGTCAACCTAAACCAGGATAAAAAGCCTCCTGCTCCCCTTCCGAGCGGCTCCAGCATTCTCCGCTCACGCTCCGTCCTGACCAGGCCTGCTGCCATCCGCGAGGAGCCCGCCGCGCCCGTCAAGAACCAGGACCCGCACGCCGACAGGGGGGATCAGCGCGCAGCCAGACCCGAGCAGCAGCAGCAGCCGCCTGCCGCCCCGGCGGGCGACAAGCAGAGAGGGATGGACGGGGATGAGGCCGCAGACAGGCGAAAAGCCGAGCCGATCGAGGAGGAAGCTCCCACCAGCCCACTCGCCACTTTTGAGAAACCCAAAGTGCAGCTGACTGACCTGAAGATGAAGTTTGAGAAGGGAGAAGACGCTGCTGGACAGGTAAACCTGTTGATTTGTAAAAGTAGTAAAAGTCTAAACTTGATGGCGAGTGGAACATAACTCAGGTTTTTAGCTTGTAGTTAAGGTTACAATCTTATGGGTTTTTTTTGTTTTGTTTGTTTTTACAGCGTCTTGCACAACTATTCATACTCCGGGAGCTTTTATTTTCCACAAGAATTGTGTGATAAACCAACACGGTATATCTGCAAAGTGAAGAAATTTGCATATACAGTTATTAAAATATGCTGGACATTTGCATTTGATGTTTTCTAGAGTCAGCTTTTACTGCAAAAAATACATAAATACATTGATTAAACTGTAAATTACAAAGTGTTGGATAATTATTATTCATCGATGTGCGCTAGTTATGTGTTTGAGAACATAAGGTGTCATGTAGAGTAATTAAGAATTTACAGGTTATGCATTGTTTCAACAAATAGATATTAAGTTTCAATTCAACTCAAGTCAAATCATTTCTGTCGTCTTTTCCTCATTTTTGAGCAGCTTTTACCTGCTGACAAGTAAACTTCTGTCCCGGCTTCAGATCTGAAACGTTTTCTCCCAGAACTGCCCTGCGTTCATTTAGCAGAAGCTGTCCCAGAGCATGCTGCTGCCACCGCCATGTTTCTCTCTTCATTATCCTGTTTGTTCAAACAAACAAACTCACAGACCTTCACAACACGGCTGCGTTTACACTAAGATTAAACGACACACAGCTTGACGCTATAATTAGCAGACTGGATGGACACACTTTGTGTTTTTAACATTGCAAATTGTTTCCCCTCCACATCATAACTACGCTCGGCTTTCTGATAGTCTGTCGTATAAAATTCCAATAAAACAGATTTTTTTGTTTTTTTTGGTTGTTGTGACTTGATCAGCTGTAGAAAAAGCAAAGGTCAAAGGTGAACATTCTTTTGCGAGGTGCTGTCCTGGTTAAAATGTCCGTGCACATTTCCCTTAACGTCCTTTCACAAGTTTAAAACCGTCCATATTTACTTTTTTCACTCCTTCCTGAAGCCCCTTTAGTTCAGTCACCAGTTTCTACCTTCCCCAGCTCCATTCTTTCGCTGCAGCTCTCTCTCTCTTTCTCTCTGACCAATAAAACAAGTCTCCCTCTCTTCAGCTCCTGAAACAGAGGAATGCAGACATTCCTTTCCAAGGCCCATCTCAGTCTTCATGGGATCGCCTCGGTAAAGCTGCTGTCTTTATCTTGGCGTTGTTAACACATTTAAAACCGAGAACCCATTTTCTTTCCTTCACTCTTTGGGTTTCTTTAGTTAATTCATCCCAGTATTTATGTTTGCTCAGTTTCCCTCTCATGTCATCATACTTAACCTGTTCTACTATTCACATTTATTCATCTCAACATCATCAGTAGGAGAGTTACAGAAATGTTTACACCCTGTGAAACTCTCAGCAACACGTGTTTTGAAACGACTCGCACCCCTTATTTTTCTTTGTGTGTGTTCAGAGAGAAACTATCATTAGTGTCAGAGCCGCGGTGCGGTCAGGCCCGTCCACGTTGTGTTTAGTGAAGGACGCATGAACGCTTTCAGATGCTTTGGCTGCAGGTCAGATGCGGGCAGGTGGCAGCCTTATCAGATAAGAGTCAGACATCTCCATCGCTTTTGTTCCACTTTTCTGATCTGAATGTTGTTTACGGTGCCAGGCAAAAGTTTTCGTACCTCCTGAATGTTTCTGTCTGTCTGTGTTGTTTTTTTTTACAACAGGAAACGTGAAAGTAATTCAAAGTGTTGCGAGCATTTGTACCGCAACAAATATTTAAACTCGAATGCATCCACAGCTCATGATCCACTGACTTGCAGGTTCAATTGCTGCCAAGTGTTACTGAACTTTATTTTTCAGTAGAGTCGATGCTAAATGCACAGTTTTCAGATTTCCATTTGTTAAAGTGAAGTTTTGGCTGTAATGTGACTAAATACAGACTAACTAATGTACTTTAGTTATTGACACAGAAATTAATGCTAAAAACTTTTTCCAATGTGACTATATTAGCTGAATTTTATTTTGTGTTTTAATGTTACCACTTCATTGTACAAATGTTAGTATATATACTTGGATAAAACGTGAAAATTCAGGTTCTGGACATCGAACTCGTTCAAAGAAAGCTTGATGACCTGTGGCATGTTTTGTTAAGTTTAATCTGGAAATCGTTTGGGTGGCGTCTCTCACTGTCAACCATTGCAAAACCAGACCCACTTCTACAAAACTGCAGAGTAGTGCAGGCAGAGATGAGTAACACTTAAAGTGCTCTCCTCAGCAGATTAAGGAAGGAGAACCGGGCCTGGCTCATTTAGCTCCACTCCTAAAACCCGTTTCCCCTCCTTCAGGTCGGCAGGTCGACGATTCGCAGCACTTCGTCTGAAGACTCAGAACGTCCTAAAAGTAAGCAAATGATTTATTTCTATCAGCATTTTTTATTTTTATTTTTTACATCTATCAACCTCAGTTTATGAAGATCCACACCTCTGCTTCAGATTCGTCTCCGCTGACCCGCTCTGCGTCTGTGAGGGTGAATAAGGCCAAGTATGAGCTGAGTGTCGCTAAACATAACGCCGGCTGCTCTGTGAGTTCAGCACGAGATACATTTCAACTCAGTTGAAACAAACAACAGAAATATTTCTGCTATGTTTTGATCGTTTGAAACAAAATCGGTGGAGTTCAAGGTTAATGTTCCCCTGCTGTGAATGCAGTTAGTCTACATTCACAGCAGAGGCTGTTTCCTGCAGGTAGTTTCTGTGCAGTGACAAGAAAACTGTGGTGCAGAAACAGCTGGGAAAAAATCAGGTTTGAGTGTTAGGGAGTGAGCCTTTCTTTACATTGCTGAAGGGGCATCATCAATAGGAAAGACATGACTGCCTAAAGTATGCGATGCTAACACTCGCACAGCAGTCACCACGCTCTCTCCTTCGAGGATAAATGTCACAAGTGAGTTTTGTCATGCAAGATGCTGTCTCAGAGTTTTCTGAGCTAGCATCGTCATGAAAACAAGATTAATGATTAAATTGCTATTGAGAAAAATAAGGGATATTTATTTATTTGACAGGAAAGTGGGTAATGAGAGAAGGGGGAAGACATGCGGCAGAGGTCGCCAGGGGTCGCATGTGGGTTGTGCTTAACCCCTGCGTCACCACAGCAGACTAGAAATGCTCTTAAACCACACATTAAAACTGCCTTCATCAAAGATCAATCGTACGTCTTGTACTTTGATCTGACCATCCTGTCTTTTTGAATTGATATGATAAAACTAGTTTTAAACCAGTTCAGCTTTTGTTACTCGGTTTCTTTCTCATGGAGATTGTTCTCTTAAACTAGTACTGTGGTTTCTATTGTGTTTTCACCAGACCGACCAACCAAAAGGGACTGCTATAAGGAAATCTGTGTCCATGAGAGTCAAACAGACTCCAGCAGCAGAGTGCAATGGTAACGCTTTCCAGAAACCAGAGGAAAACATGAAAAGGCCTCCAGCAGCATCACAGCTGATTCTGAATTTTCTCTCTTTTCAGGAGAAGGAACTGAGCAACCCAGAGCAACCAGGGTGCGGCAACGTGACAATGTTCTTACTAAAATCAACTTTTCACTCTTTGTTCTCCATGAATGCATTCGATTGGTTTTGTTTTAGCAGACGTTTCGCGTACCAGAGACAACAAAATGCGCTGCCTGTCAGAAAACGGTGTATCCTCTGGAGAAACTGGTGGTTGGTGAGCACACTTACCACAAAAACTGCTTCGCCTGCTCTCACTGCAGCACAAAGCTGAAGTAAGCTGCCGCACTTGGATCTGCTGTTGTATTTATTCTTGTACGAAGATAGAAGAGATTAGTCCAGACTCTTGAATGTGCTTTGCTTCACAATCCCTCAAATTCTGCAGTTCATCCTGTTCTGCCACACTTTTTCCTTCCACATAACTTTCCATTTGTGTGCTTATTTGCTCACTGTCTAGTCAGCAGTCATCCGCTGAATGGGTTGAATTTATCATTTCTGTTTAGCTTAAAGAAAATCTTTGTTTTTGGTCTTAGGTAGTGATTTCATTTTAACGAGAAACTGACTTCTGGTTTTTATAACGGCAACAACCAAACTGTAGCAGAAAAAAAAAATCCCCATTTGTATTGAATTACTAAAATTAATCAACTTGTCAATGACATTCATTTATTACTTACATATATGCATACAGCCATATATGTGTGATTTGTTTGAAATAAGACAATAAGAGTAAATGTATTTATTTCTTACCAATCTCGTTGCTGTGTCTCTTTCTGTCCTTCCTTCCTTCTTACCTCCTTTTTCTGCTTATTTTATTTTTTTCCATCCATTTCTAGTCCTTCCTTCTGCATTTTCTTACTTCCTTGTTTTTTTCTCCCTTCCTTTCTTTCTTTCTTTCTTTCTTGGCATTCTGGAAGTCTTTTTTATGAAATGAATTTTATAAGATGTGTGCTCATGTCAAACCTTTGCTGCTCCGTCTCTAGTCTGTGGAACTACGCCTCCCTGCATGGTAAGATCTACTGCAAGCCTCACTACAACCAGCTGTTCAAGGCCAAAGGGAACTACGACGAAGGCTTCGGCCATCGCCCTCATAAGGAGCTGTGGGAGCCTCGAGGCGACGGAGAGGAAAGCGAGGAGCCGCCAAAGCCCAAAGAGCGACCAGTGGAGGCGAAGCAGCCGGCTGAGAGCGTGTCCGAGCCGCAGCCGGATCCCAGCGGGGAAACGTCGCCACAGGTCAAGGTCACAGACATGGCCGCCTTGCTGGAGACCCGCACAAAAACGCGGGCCGGCTCCGGAGAGACGCAGCAGGCTGCAGACAAGCCGGCTGAGAAGCGGCGGCTGAAGGTGGCCTGGCCGCCTCCGGCCGGCGAAGACCGCCCTGGACCGCTGAGTCCGTCCGCAGACGACGTCCCTTCAAACAGAACCCGGAGGGCCAAGTGGCCCCCAGAGGACGAGGTCCACTCATCCTTCCAGAGCTCGGAGCAGGCCGAGCTGAAGAGCTTGAGAAGGACCTCGTCTCTGAAGGAGCGCAGCCGTGTGTTCACAGTCGCAGCCAAACCGAAACCGACTCCCACAGCCGCCGAGGGCCGCAGGGAGCCGCGGCGGCCACTCAGACAACTGCAGGACTGGAGGGCATCGCTGGAGGAGAAACTGCCATCTGAAGACAAACCCAAAGTAAACCACCAGCAGGAGGAAAAGGAAGAGCAGAGGATGAATCAGACGCCAAACGGAGGCGTGAGCACCCCGAAGGAGGAGAATCCCACTGAGGACGAGGAGGAACGGAAGGAGAGAGCGCAGGAGGAGCAACGGAAGGAGAGAGCGCAGGAGGAGGAACGGAAGGAGAGAGCGCAGGAGGAGGAACGGAAGGAGAGAGCGCAGGAGGAGGAACGGAAGGAGAAGCGCTCCTCCCAGGATGTGGGCTTCTGGGACGACAAGGAGGGGAGCGACGCTGAGGATCTGAGCGCCGAGGACATCATCAAGAAGAACCGCTACTACGACGAAGACGACGAGGATTCGATAGTATAAGAGCAGCTTAAAAATCCACTTCCAGCAACCAAAAAAGAAAAAAAAAAAACACTTTTAGCTCAAAGGTGGCCGACTAGCTTAGCTTTACCAGATTTTACTCCTGCAGAAACCAAAACTATACCAGCTATCTGTGAATCAAATCTTTTATTGCTCTTTTTATGTTTCAGTTATATTTGTAAAAAAGATTACAACCTTTTTTTTGGTCATGTGCCCTTTGAAAAATGAAGAACAGCTTTTAAATTAGTTTTAGTTTTGGCTCTGCGTTTGATTTTAACTCCTGAAAACTTGGTACAGCTCTCGTCTTCGCTCAGGGATCAAACAGCTGGTTCAACAGTTTTGTCCTTGCCTTCATTTTACATTAATACAGCTTCCTTTCACTTTTCTGTTTTAAACTTTTATTTCTTCTTTTTTTTTAGTTTAAACGTTTTATTTGCTTTAAACGTTTTCTTTGCAGAATACCTGGCTGATCGTCCACATACCGCTTGTGCAATTAGATTTTTTTTTTCCATTATTGTGTTGCATATTACAAAATTAGCATTTTTTTGTAAATTATTCTCTTGAAATGAAAACGGACCAAATGAGCTGCCAAAGATTTGTGGTAATTCCTAACATCTCCAGGGGCCTTTTCAAGTTTAAAGGAACATTTTCAATTGCAATCCATTTTGTATGCGAAACATTTTCAATGTATTTTTATGTAATGGAGTACAAACATGTTTGCACAACGATTTGTCTTCTTGTGACTGGAGATCACAGCCTGTTTCTGAAACAGAATTAAAATATACTACTGAGTCCTTGTTGTCATCTTGTAATTTGTCAACTCTACTCAGGCTTTAAAATTAATGTGGCAAGATTTGAGTAATTAGTCAGATATTCTCCAGAGTTTGAGGGCAAAATTTCAGTTCCCAGATGTGCAAAGCTCGGTTCTGGTTGGAGGAATCCTAATGGTGCCGTGAATGATGTGAACAGAAATTGAAGCTCTTCCTGTTTTTGTTTTTTTTTTATTATTATTATTATTATGTAAAGCACTTTGAAATGCTTTGCTGGCGAAATGTGCTATACAAATAAAATTTGATTCGATTTGATTTGGTGATTTGATCCTAGTCCAATATCACTAGCAGCAAAACCCTCGACTCCAAACTGCTTCTGAAGCAGAATAATGACGATGGTGAGAACATCCTTTAAGACACTTGGTATTATAGAACAAAATGTGGTTTTAAAAAGTATTAAATCGAGGGCTGATCACGTATTCTCTACCTCACTGCTGCCATAAATGCACAAACCAATTATATTGAGGCATTGCTGGCACCTTCTTGGGCTCTAAAGTCTATTTTGATGAACATTTTCTAGCAGCTAACAAGTCATAAAAAAAGAGAAATAAATCCCACTTTGCTCTTCTAAGTCGTATTGGAATGACAGTGATTCGCTGCGTTTTGTTAAATCACTGAAACGATCCTAGGTCTTTTTTTGTTTTTTTTTTTTGCTTAAACATTGCAAATAAGGTTTTATGTTAAAATTATTTTTTGCTTTAATTTAAACCACAACAATTTCTGCTGGTGTAAAGACAATGTTGATCATTACAGTTATAATAATGCAATAAGACGCATTATTTTAAAACACAGACTTCTTGACCAAAAATACGGAATAAAGACCTGCTAAATTTAACAAAAGTTTTCCAAATGTTTATTGAATTAAATATTATTTCTATTAGTCCATTTTGCTCTTTAGCAGGAGTAAACATTAGCAGGTTATTGACGTTCACATACGGATGCCCACATGTTGTCAAATGCAGCTTTTAAAACGACCTACGTTGGATAAAAGTGAGCATATGGGCGGTCAGAAATGCTTCCAGATATTTGCGTTTCCTCTTAGTGGAAGTTTAGAAGTCATCTCCAAAAGGGCAATTTGGTTTGCAGACAGCAAGATAAATACGTAAAACAAAATAAATAAATAAATTACAATGTTGGCAGAACGCGACAACATCCATGCGACACACAGTACAATATGGATGTTGTGGTGTGCTACTGCTGTTACTCATTAGACGCGCTTAAAGTGTGAGAACGCTGCGACCTCAGTGCAACAGAAGGAGGAGCGGAGTCGGCGCTGCGGTGAGTTTAAATATTAATTTATTAACATTTTTGGCATTATTGCTTTAAACATAAAAAAATAGAGGTGAGAGGAGAAAAAGTACAAATTAAGGATGTGTTTGAACTGAAGATAAAAATGCTGCAGGTATTCCACTGAAGACCGTCCGTTGGTCTCGCCATCAAAAGCAAACAATAAAAAACAAACAGAAAAACTCCCTCTACAGTACAGGACGACGTGATTTTACACCAAGCATTTTCAGCACATAAATAGCAGCAACTCAGCGTCAAAACGAAGAGAACAACTCGCTCGGCCTCGATCGGATATTTCCAGCAAAGGTTGAAATCAGACCTTTCGCTGTCCGCATCGATCGAGTTTTAACACAAATCCTCTTTCTGTGGCAGATTATTTCATAAAGGTTCAACATTTCATGCAGGACAATCTGCTCATTAGGCCTCATATTAAGACATATGTATAGGTTTTTATTTTAACGGTTCAGCTCGACAGGGAACTGTCGCTATAAGAACAGTACTGGTGATGGAAAAAAGACGGGTGAGCCCTTTAAATGTAGTCGTTACCGACTAAAAGACACTTGAAGAACATTTTCCTTCAAAAATCTACAGGTGGCTGTCAGGAGGTTTTCTCAACAGACCTGTAACTCTCTGCAGCCATACAGAAAGATGAATCTTTGTCTTTGCCCAGAAGTAAAAAAAGTAATAATAATAATAAAGGTGATCAGAATATGTAGAACAATTTTGGCAAAAAAAAACAAAAACAAGCAAATCTGACACAGAGCAAAACAAATTAAATCACAAAAAAAAAGGGAGAAAAATAAAATCCGAAGAAACTTAAAAACACGTTTTGAGTATCAAGTATACCTGAGAACAAGTATGGCTTCAATTTCAAAGTACAAATTTAAAATTTACATCTAAATTTTGATTAAGTGGTGGGGAGAAAAAGATACTAACTTTTCAAATCTCCACGTGGAAAAGTCAAATAACCAAATTCCTCGTTGTAGTTTTCCACATGAAATTAAATATAAACATATAAAGTACACATTTTCTTTTCAATCTTTTAGTTATCCGTCTCAGTTTAGTATTTTTCCTTAGCTTACAGTCATGGAAAAGATTGTTTTTCCAGCATATAGGAAGAAAGACGACAATTTGAAACTCTGTTAAAAAGTAATTTAAAAGAAAAAACACTCCACATCCATTTTCGCTTGAAATGGCCAAAGATCACACACGCTTATGACATCAGCCATGTATGATTAGAACAATGTCACTTTACGCAGATTTAGACCTGGTTTGTTTAAAGTGCTCCTAGCTGCTGAAGTGAGAGTGAAGGCCATTCAGAAAGACGACAGTAGCAGCTTATGAGTCTGTGAGGGATTAAAGGAGATTAACATCAGCCATTCCAACGTATGAAAATCATCTACAAGTGAAGGACATTCAAAACAGTCAAAGCTCTCAGGTCCGACAAAGTTCACCCTGAAAGCCGACAGCAAGATGCTGAACGAAGTCCCCAAAATCCACCAGGGGCCCGACAGAAGAAAAACCATGAAGGTTTGACTGGAACAAGCTGGAGAGAATAATGAGCTTTGGGCAGGTGGGGCATATTTGGTTTAAATCAAATATCTCACAGCTCAAAGTGAAGACTGGGGCAAATCAGATTGTCAGCAACGAGAAACTGAATCTCAACCTAACGACTGGGTGCAACTTTTTTTTTTTTCTCTCAGTTAAAAGTCACATTACAGCTGATTGTTTTACTCATGGAACAAGAACTGAGTTAATTTAATGTGTGTACATGTAAATTAACCCCCTTGTTTCACAAAAAACAATATCTGAATTTGATATTTCCCCCCTCAAATTTACACACACACACAAAAAAATCACTTTTTCACTGCCAGAGTAAAGGGTAGAATATGAAATGTGACGATAAAGATTCACCTGAATCACAAATGTTTCTAAACAGAAGAAGAAAAAAAAACACATTTAAAGTAAAAGTAAAAAACAGAAAGTAAACACAGCTTTTTGTGATGACTGTCCACAGACAGAAAGAGAAACCCTCAATAACACATTTCAGAATAAATTTCCAACTGAAGAAACACAAAATCTTAGCAATTATTTTTGGTCCAATTACTTTAGGACAATTGAGATGAGACAAAACTAACTTTACAGCAAGTTAGTGGAACCAGGACTCAAAAAGTGCTGGTTCCACTGGCAGATCATTTCACTTATAACACATTGATCCACTGGCATAGGTGGAAAAACCTGCAAGCGGAACCAGAACTTATTGATCAATATTGCAGAAATGATTTATGTAAAACAAGCTGCTTTAGCTTTCTGAAAAGCTACCTTAAAGTTATTTTTTGTCATATTTCAAGCTTACTTAGATATTTGCACAAGAAACTAGAGCAAAAATACTTGGTAAGATTTTGTGTTTTTGTTTTGTTTTCCATTTCAGTATATTCTGAAAAAAACAAAACAATAAAAAATAAAAACATCATACACATGATATTGTCCAACTTCGGTCTAGTTTAGAAGCATAAAATGTTTCCATCATCTGGTCAGTGAGGAAACTAAAATCTCATTTCCTCAAATAAATAATCTAAATGTTTTTTGTTTTTTTTTAGATTCATCCTGTAAGCATCATTTAGTTGGGTTCAGATGAAATAAGGACTCTCTTTAAAGCTTTAAGATCCACTTTCTCTTATTGCAAGATAACAAACAAGAAGCATAAAAATAGCTTTGATTTCAACAAATTATTATCATTATTATTATTGCACTTTTACTTCCTCATAGTTACCTGAAACAGCTTCCTCCAAACGTGAAGCAGCTGGTTCTACCGAGTCGCTGCTGCCTGTGAGCCGCCTCACCACTGAGTGTCAGTACTGGACCGTCGACAGGCGCAAACGCACGCACACCTCCTTTAAATTCAAGGGCTTTTCCACTTCTGCCTCATCGTTGTAGAATAAATAAATCACACTTGCAGTTTAGAAATAATCTCATAATCTAGTAACTCATTTTAACCAGGACTGCCTTTGCGGGTCTGTTTGGTAACTCAGGTCTCTTTTACTTGGGACTTTTACATTCATTATTCAAGACTTTTTTTTTGTTGTTTTTTTTGGCATTTCAATAAGCCTCGTGCGTCAAAATGAATAACTTTTTTCCCTCCAAACTCAGCCTGCTTCAACAGTTTCTTACAGTACAAAAATCATTTCGTAATAAAGCCGCTTCTTTTAGGCACAGATGTCTTAAAGATCTTACTTTCATGAATCTTTAAGACGCGTTTTGTCAGCATGTAAAACGATGTTTTCACCGTGAAGGTGCAGCGACGATTTGGAGGAATCGTTCATCATCCCAAAGGCTTTTAATTGTTCTGGTTTCCGTCAGCCGCTGAGGGGGCGCAGTTCAACTCTGACCTTCTCCCCAGTGCTCATCATCCCAATGGTGGGATAGAAACCGTTTGGCGGCAAGGCCACTTCCCTTTTCCCCACCACCTTCCCGTTCCGAGTGAAAAACACCTGTTCCAACACAAAAGCGGGGAAAACAAGCGGTGAATGTCGGCCAAACGGCGTCCGAGTTTTTACAGTCCTGCCTTCAGACAGAATCTCACCATGACCCTCCTCCCCTCCGGGTCGTCCCCCTCGTCCTCCTCTTCGTCGTCGTTGTTTGCGTACAGGTTGTTCTGCACCTCGCTGGAAGCCACGTCCAGGTCGAAGTCGTCTGCGTCATCTGAAAAAGAGCGCCGTGGGCGTCAGCGAGCCGATGGGAGAGCGAGAAAAGAGAGACGACGCGACGGCGCTCACCTCCTCCGTCCACGCTGAAGTCTCGTGGGAACATGATACCGCAGCCCATGATGTCGCCTTCGAAGCAGCGCGGCCCGAACGGGTCCCCCACCCCGCTGCCGTGGAACAGCTTCCCGTCGTCTGCGACCAACGAGGAAGACGTTAAAACCCGGAATCCAGCTTTTTATGACACGCTGGCGTTGGAGGTTATTTTTTCTGATGCAAAGGTTTTATGGCCTTGTAATTTCCTACACAGACGGCGGACTTGACCCTTTTCTGATCCTTCACTGATTGCCAAGCCTGCCGCATCAAGTAATTAATTGCAGGATTAATTAAAAGGAGTTTGATAATTTCCATTCTGATGATTAATAATTTTTGAAGAGTAATGTTGTTTACAGAGACTTCCTAATCCATTTCATTTATCGTTCTCGGTTGTTTTATTTTGGATATTTAAAATAACCTCCATCTCCGGTGTTCAGTTTTCTTTACAACGTATAACTTTGTTTTTTTTAGAGGGTGAGCTTCATTATTAGCATTATATTATTTGAAAACCGTCTCAAAACAACAATATTATTGTTTATTAAAATAATGACCTCGTGCTGTGAAGAATTGATGCAGAAACTCAAGCTAAATGAGCCACAATGAGAAGTGCTGCGTTCACTGTCATGGAGATACTTTTCACCTTTCTCTATCAAACATCCTCTTTATTGATCTGATCTATATTCAGAGAAACTGGTTTTAGTAACAACTGCAAGGTATCAACAGGATGTTCTTCCTGGCATTTGCTCAGCCTGCAACACAATTAGCTGAAATGAAAAGATTCAACCTGCCAGACAATATAATCCCAGAGCAACATTCGTCTTCATGCCGCCTTCAAAGATCCGACTCTGATCTGCAATGTTCTCCATTTTCTTTAAGAAGTTTTTGCTTGCTTTACATTTTTGCAAAGTGTCACCATTCAACATGCCATTTGCTGGATTTCTGTTCCACTTTTTCAAATGTCTCATCATGATATTCACACAACTGAAGGCAGAAGAAAGCGAAACGGAAGAAAAATTATAGTTTGAAAAATCGGACCAAACTCCAGCAGAAATTTTAAGCTGTGTGGTGTTTTCATCTTCGACCCTCAGACGTAAACTGTAGAAAACCAGCATCGTTTGTATGAAACGGAAGGGGCTGGGGAACATCCACGTTCTCCATCAGACCAGAGAAATTTCTTCCATATGTTTGCTGTGACGTCTTTCAGCTTCCTTCAAACAATGGCTTTCTTCCTGCCACTCCTCCACGAAGCACATTAAGGATCGATGACTAACGCTGCGTTCCAGTTGCAGAGGAAGTGGGAATTCTGAGCTGGGTTTGACGCAAGACCCGCGTTAACGGCGTTCCATTTAGGAAGATGAAATTTCAACATGACGACGCCCATAAACATTGTTTCCAGTAGCATAACGGTGGTTTGAAGCTTTACTTTTCACCACTTTTAGTTTGTTCAGTTTAGAGCTGCAGGCGCTAAATGCAAAGCTGATTTTGGACGCACTTTTCCACCGCGTCTTCCTGCTGCTGGTGTGAGGAGCGGGCATATTGAAACGCCGTAACCGGGGGCAGTCGGAGTCGCTCCCAGTTTCCCAGTTGGAAATCCAACTGCGGAGGACTTTCCAGTCGATTTTTCGGACTGGAAAGTCTGAATTTCCCAGTTCAGAGAGCAACTGGAACGCAGCATCACAGTTCTGTCAACAGCCTGAGCTGCAGATCTGTCGGCTGTTGCCGTTTGCTCTTCAATGCTCCCTTCAGGAACAGCTGGATTCATCCTGAGATTAAATTACACCCAGCTGGACTAACGCAAATATGCACAACTTTGAGTGTTTATCACATAAAATCCTATTGCAATACGTCACAGTTTTTGGTTGTAACGCGACAAAATGTGAAGAAAAAAAAAAGTAATAGTTATTGGGAATCCAAGCCAACTTCCACGTTTTACTTCGGACGCTCACCAGCAGGAATAACAGTCAGTCTGTTTGGATAAACAGGAATCAATCAGAGGCTTGGAAAAGAGATGATTGACCTGCTGCCCCCACCCTGGTCATAATGAACCTGCTGAGCTAGTTTTCACATGTCCTCCTGGTTATGTTTACATCCATCCCGCCGCTATCCAGGCAACGGCCTGTGCTGTCATCCAGCCGGTCGCCAAAACACACCCAACTCTGCATCCAAGAACTTTTTGTTCTCCTCTTGTGTAAGAGTATTTTTGTGTGATTTCATACCTTTCAGGAAGTGAGAAGTGTCAAGTATTGAGTTTCTTTCCAAGTGCTATTGAAACTGCTCTTAAGTCTTGAATCTATAGGACATGAACAGACAGATCAGAGATGATTCACCTGCGTGGTAAGCGATGGAGCCTTTGTTCCAACCTGGATGTTTGTCCTTTGGATAGTCCTGCAAACCAAAAGACAAATTACCTAATTAGAAATAAATCCGTAGAAAACATTGGTCTCAATGAACCAAGCTAAGCTCTTAAACCTTGAATCTTGTGCTCAATTAGAAAAACTGTATCATCTTCCATCAGATGTAGCCTC